GGGGTGGGGGAATGACAGAAGATCAGGGCTGGGAGAGCGGGAAGGAACCCATGTGCCTGCCATCTTCCCTGCCCTGGCCTCACCCTGGTTTTCTGGGAGCCGGACTGGAAGGCTGTCCCCATCACCCCGTCTCTCAACATGTAAAGTGATCTCAGCCCAGGTGGGATCCCACAACCTCCCAGGCTGGACGTGTTCCCTAGCCGCACCCCTTTCTCCTCCCCACCCCCAAGGCCTGACCACTCCCTCGCTGGGACAGTCTATACCCCGACCCCAGCAGAGGAATGCTACGGCCCCCTTCACTCAAGCACCCTGGAACACATGCCTTACCCAATCCAGTCAGCAAACTCAAGGGCGTTGGGGACAGTAGCACTCAGGAGGATGATGGACACGTGGTCAGGCAGCATGATGAGTACCTCCTCCCACACAACCCCGCGCTGCATACAGGGAGGGAGTACAAGTCACCAGCAGCTTAGAGGGGGCTGCCCTTCTGCCCAGGGAAGTGGCACAAGGCTCCATAAGAAGGGACAAAGAAGGAAGTGAAGTTCCCAGGGTGTGTGGAACAGCGGAGCTGCTGAACCTACCCCACAGGAGAGGACTGCCAGGACCTGGGGACCGTCCCCTTACCTCAGCATCATTGATATAGTGAACCTCATCAAAGATGACCCACTCCAGGTCCCGGATGACGTCCGAGCCACTGTACAGCATGGAGCTGGAAGAGAAAGGCCCCAGGCTGACTCCCCAGCGGCTCCTACCTGCACCCTCACCTCAGCCAGAGTGCTCTCCAAAGCAGCCTCACATTCCTGACCAAAAACCCACCCCATGCTGAGTGCCCGCCTCTCACCGAAGGATCTCCGTTGTCATAATGAGGCAAGAGGCTTCTGGGTGCAGCTGCACGTCCCCAGTGAGCAGCCCCACGTCCCCAAATGTGTTTCGGAAGTCCCGGAACTTCTGGTTGCTCAGAGCCTTGATGGGTGAAGTATAGATGGTGCTGGGAGGAGGACATAAAGTCAGCCAGGCCCTCCACACAGGCTCCTTGTCAGCACCTCCTCTCCTACCCTGACCCTTCCCAGAGGCACACCACAGAGATCAGGCGCCCCCCCCACCCGCCTTCTTCACCCAAACTTCCCTCATGTTCCCCTTCATGGAATTACCCTGGAAAAATCCTGTCCCCCAATCCCTTCCCCAACTAATGCCGCTTGTTTTTCTCTCCCCACATCTTCTTGTTTCCCTCCAAAACCCTGCCTCAGTTTCTCCCCCGAGCCTCTCATCTAAAGGATGAGGCAGGGAGGTGGAGAAGAGAAGAGACTTAGAAAGGATGCAGGAGAGAACAGGGCTGGTGAAGGGGAGGCTGGGGAGGGGCCTATACCGCGTCATGTGTTTCTGGGCAAGCGCGATGGCGTATTCAGCCACAACCGTCTTCCCCGCGGATGTGTGAGCCGCGACAAAGACTGAGTCGTGCCGCTCCAAGTGCAGGATGGCCTGTTTCTGAAACACATCTGGCTCAAACGCCCACTGTGGGAGAGAGAAACAGATGGGGGTGCAGAAAGGACAGGGGTCTTCCTGCCTCCACCTCATGGGGCCTCCCAGGCAGGGGAAGAAGGCCAAGACCTCCGTCCACTGAAGGCACCTGGCCTCCGGTGGGGAGAAGAGACAAGGGCATGGGCTGGAGGAGGTGGGGGAGCGCCTGAGGCCTGGGCCACGCTACCTGGAAGGCTGGCTGGGGAATGAGGCGGTAGAAATCACCAACAGGGGAGGTGACATCCACAGGAATGGCCCACTGCTCCTGAGGTGGGGGCTTGGGAGGTTCTGGAGGGGCTACAGCTGTAGACGCTTCCTGGAGAAGGAGAGGGGTATAGGGCCAATAAACATAGAGCCAGAAAGCTCTCTGTTACCACCCCTCCCAGAGGATGCTCCAGTCTTCCCCGGGGAACCAACCAGGCCAGCCCACCCTGTCTGGGACAAGGCCCTTCTTTCCTGCCTCAACCGCCCAGAACCACCAACCTTCAACACTAGGTCCTCCAAGCTGCTTGCTCGGGCCAGAGGAACGCTGCCAGGAGAGGCTGAAACAGTGTCCTGTCTGGGACCGCCAGGCTCTCCCACTGCCTCACTCTCATCCTCATCGCCCCCACCCAAATCCAAGGGCTCCAGCAGATGGCTGAGGCTAAGCAACCCGGCAGCTGGAGCTGGGTGATCTAGGAGCAAGGAAAAAATGGAGACCTGGTCGTTATCCACCTGCATTCTGAAGAAGAAGGGTACCGTTTCCCCTACGGCCCCATCTCAAAACTAAAACTCACCCTTTGGTGCAAAGTCCACGCCTTTCTTGAAGCCAGGTGGAATAGTAAGGAGGTCTGGAGGATGGGGACAGAGAGAATCAGGGCTCTCGCACACTGCTATACCAAGTCATATGTTACATTAGCCTGTAGGATGTTGTTCACATCATACACGCTGTAGTTATAGTTTTTTGTGACAGTCTTCCAACAGATGACAGTAAAGGTTGTTATGGAAGAGGTACCCTTTCCTAATTTGCTCAAGGAAATGGAAGAGCTAGCAAGGACCCAGTGACAAGACTTGGCCCCTCCTCCTCAGGCCCCAGGCTCAGAGCCCTACCTCCCACGGTCCCTCCTGGCACCAGCTCACCTTTCTCAAAGTCTATCTCCTCCTCAGCCTCCTCTCGGGTGCTCAGATCTGTTATAGTGGGCTCATCCATTCCACCTGAGGAGAGGTTGGACAAATGGGATTCATGGGGTGGGAGTGACACGAGAGGGGTGGAGACTAAGGGCTCCCTCCCCTACCATCCCATTTCCACAAGCATCACCTGGCCAGAAAGGGTACTGTGTTGGATTCCCCCACAGGGACTGGGAGATGGGCGCTGGTGGCCGGCGAAGAGACAAGGAGGTTGTGGATGACAGGTTTGTATTCTCTAGCAGGACCTGAGGCAAGAGAATAGAGCGCCAGTGAGGCTGAGCTTGCCTCTGACCCCACCTTCTCCCAATTCTGCTTCTGGTGGCCCACGACCACTTACCTCCTTGTAGCCTAGTATCTGGCCTGTGGTTGGGTGTCTTTGGGCCTGTAGGTCGGAGGGGACTGGGGCCCCCAGTGTGGCCAGGAGAGACCAAGGATCCATCTTCCTCTGCCATTTCCTGGACAGAAGCAAAGTAATGTTCAGGTCTTCTTTCTCCTCTGTCCCAGCTTCCTTCAGGGACCCACCTGCCAAGCCCAGGCCCTTCTAGACCCCTCACCGGGCTGAGTGCTCCACACCATGCAGAGGCAGCCAGGCTGGAGATGACAGAAACAACCGCTCTGCTTCCTGCTGCAGATCTGGGGCACAGGGAGGGAGGCCGTGGGGAAGCTGGAACAAAAGCACAAGGGAAGAGAGTAAGACACAAAAGAGAAGGTGACGCGACTTGTATTTAGATCTGATATGGGAGACGTCCAAGACTAGGACAATCAGGCTGAAGCACTATTTTCCAAAGGCTGTTCTGTTTTACAGAACAAACGGTCTGCAATTGAATTACCTAGGATTCTGATTAATAATACAGATTTTGGATTTCTGAATCTATGGACCTAAGAACTAGTATTTTTGAAAAGCTCCCCCACCAATTGTTTGTGTGTGTGCACACTAAGTTGTGTTCAACCCCATGGATTGTGGCCCATCAGGCTCCTCTGTCCATGGGATTTCCACTAATCATGAGGCACACTGATATTTGAGAATCTCTAGTTTTAGGAAAAGGGGGTCCCAGGCCTAAGGATGAAGAGCCAGGTGTTCAAAGGTTAGCATCTCAGTCACTAAGTGCCCTAGTGCTTGGAGACAAAACAGGACTCCCGGGAGAAAACAGCAGTTTGAAAGAGTAATTCTCAGAACTAAGGTTTCCCCGGGACTCCCTGCTCTGTCTTCTTATGGGCTCTGACCCACTGCAGGTCCACTGGGTTGGAGTCTGTCCAGCACCAGTTTAGGCTCGGATGACAAGTGCCCAGAGACAGGACAGCCGAGTCAGCTTATATCCTACTGGGAGGAGGATGAAGGAGGTTTTAAGCTCAACAGGGTCAAGGTTAGGGTGAAACGGCACTCACGGTGCTCTCTGGAGCCCCAGGCACATTCAGCAGCTCCCAGCGCCCCGTGCATCCCAGCTCTACGGCCCGAAGGGGTAGGTCCAGGGGATCTGGGGGAGGTAGCACTAGGGAGGAAAGGTCACAGGTCAGGGGTTAAGGGTGATTCGCTGTCTCCTCTGTCTTTCCACCCCCTCCCCCTCACCGAGTCGCTCCGTCTCCATCATCCTGGAGCCACGGCAGCTGCCGGGCAGCCGGGAAACGTAAGGAGGAGCCGGAATCGGCGGAAGTAGGAGCGACTTCCGGCACAACCGGGCCTGGGGGCGGGGATAAGAGCTACTTAGGGGCTGACCCAAACTGGTGGGAGGCCGGGCGGAAGTGTGTGCGGCGCGGGCCGCCTTGGTTACCGCGTTCTCCGCCCCTCGCTACGTCATCGCTCTGAGCCCGGGATCCGCTGCCCGCGCGGGCGCCGCCCGAGACCGTGGGGCCCCGGTTGCCGCCCCCTCAGGTAAGGCCTTCTCCTCAGCCTTCGCCCCTCTTTTTCCGAGCTCCTTCTGTCTTCTTGCCCCTTTCGTTGCTCTGAGAGCGCTGCGCGGGTTCCACTGCTTCCTCTGCTTTTCGGACCCCGCTATTCCATACTAACTCCAGCGAGATAGGGGGGGTCTGGTGCCATCGTCTTGGCGACGGAGGGGGTATTTATCTCTTCCTGGGCCACATGGTGCCCCAAGGCGCTGGTATCCGTGATTCCTGAAGACAGAAGGGAATGCTGGTTGATCCCGACGAGCTGGGGTTTGGACGGCAGCCTGGTTTAAGCAAGGGGTAGGGAAAGGCAAAAGATAGGAGTAGGCAGGCCTGAAGGGGTGGGATCGGGATCAGTGTGGACGGCGTGTGAACTCTGGGCGGTGACAGTGGAGAAAGATGTCTTGGGCCCTGCCCCCGAACCAGGAGCCACCATGTTGGTGATACCCCCCGGACTGAGCGAGGAGGAGGAGGCTCTGCAGAAGAAATTCAACAAACTCAAGAAAAAGGTGAGGGAGTGTGTGTGGGCATGGCCCAAACTTTCAAAGACTCTACACTGAGAACACCTGGGGTGAGTGTGAGGGGATGCGGGGTGGGGACTCCTCTAGCTAATACCTGGAGGCTTACCATCTCTCTGTGTAACTTCAGAAATGGACTTTCCCAAGTGTGTACTTTCTTTTCTCTCTTTTCTATGTGGTCTGCCATGGAGTTGTCTTCCTTTCCCATGGCTTTTAGTACCACCTAAGAACTGGTGATCCCAAGCTTGGTTTTTCCAATGCCATCTAGTGTCTTACTGATAATTTTCACATATCCAAAACTGAAGCTGTCCTCTTGTCTGTACTAAATTTGGTCTTCCAAAAAGGACTGTCTGCATTCACTTCTTCGATTTGTTTGAGATGACTATCTCATCATTTGCACAATTTGTGTAGCCAAACGTTTGCCAAGTCTTCATTTTTCTTTTAAAGTAATTTCTTCTGTTTTCTTTTCCTATGTATTCCCTAGATCTGGTCTTTGCTGATGCTCACTTTGACTGTTGTAACGGTCTCTCAACAAGATTCTTCTCTTGGACAGACTTTCACTCCTGTTAAAGCGATGCATTGAAAATACTAAACACTGCCCTTCTTTTTTCAAAACACAGTGGTTTCGCATTGCCTATAAAAAGCTTTAATCTGGGCTTTCTTCCTATAGAACTATCCCTTGGTCCCAAAACACACATTCTCAAAACCTTCTTATGTCTGCATCTCTGCCACCCTGTTTTCTTTGTCTAAAATGCCTTTTCCTCTCAGCCTGCATTATGTAGATCCTACTCAGGACCCGGTTTAATAACCATTTGCATCAGAAAAATCTTACTTGCTTTCAGCTCCAATCTGCACTTATGATCAGTCTTGACAGTTCAATCAGGTCATCATCTTTCTCAGCCTGTGAGCTCAGGAGGAGGATCTGTGTCTCTTTCTTTTGCAAATCTCTGTTTCAGAGCATTGGTGTGTTCTTATTAAACATGTAGGAGTGGTTGGACGAAGCCCCTAAGAAGGCACGGAGGCTTATACTAAACTGCAGTGTGTATCCGGGGGCCATGGTCTGTGTTTTGAGTTCCTTGTTTTCAACTTGAAAAATATGAGACTCTGCAAAGCCTCTGGATACTGTGGTTTAGAGTAGGTATGGCTGGTGTATGTGATCTGAGGGACTATATGTGAGAGGCAAGTCAGCTGCAGTATACCTTCCCAGGGCCACCGTTTGCATTATTTTCTCTCAGAAAGGTAGACCCGGAGTGATGTGCCCAAGGGCCTTGGGAGAAGACCTGGCCAGGGATTGGCCCTCATCAATCCCTTTCTTCTCACTCTTGTTCCCAGAAAAAGGCATTGCTGGCTCTGAAGAAGCAAAGTAGCAGCAGCACAGCCAGCCAAGGCGGTGTCAAACGCTGTGAGTGACGGGGGAGGCGGGGATAGGCTAAAAGTAAGCACACCAGCTGACCTCTGGCCAACATAATAAACCTCTCTCCCTTGCCACTTCAGCACTGTCAGAGCAGCCTGTGGTGGACACGGCCACAGCAACAGAGCAGGCAAAGCAGCTAGTGAAGTCAGGAGCCATCAGTGCCATCAAGGCCGAGACCAAGAACTCAGGCTTCAAGCGTTCTCGGACCCTAGAGGGGAAGTTAAAGGTGAGCACAGGCAGAAAGGTTGTTCACGGGATCCTTCACGTCAGAGGGCATCCTTCCAAGTTGGAATGAAGGTAGGTGTAGGGGGAAGGTAATGCCAGTTCAGTCATGGACAAGTTGCATTGCCATTCTGAGCTTCAGGTTTCTTATCTATAAAATGAAGAAACTAGACGCCTCCCAGATTCTCCTCTGTTTTATGTATTCTGTGACTCTAATCCATCATGTAATAGATCTGTTGGATTGTGTTCTCTAAGGAGTTGAAAAGGCTGAGAAGGTCATCAGGTTCAAGATGTTTTTAGTAAACTAAATGCTTCAAGTGTGTATTAAGTCTTTTATGTAAAATAACACATAGTCAAGTGAAGGCCAGGGGAGCCAAGAGGAGGGTGAGGGAAGAGGAGCCCCGCACCCCCGATAGGCGGCCTCCTGCTCCCCCACTGAGGTAGGTCTTTCCCACTTTCCCAGGACCCTGAGAAGGGGCCGGTTCCCACTTTCCAACCGTTCCAGAGGAGCGTATCTGCTGACGACGACCTGCAGGAGGTAATGGTTTCCAGTTTTCTGTCTCTGAGGAACGGGGGATTGAGAAAAATGAGAAACGCACATATTGGAGGCCATATGCCAGCCACTCAGACTTGTCTTAACTGTTCTTGGTCTCTTTCAGTCGTCCAGACGTCCACAAAGGAAATCTCTGTATGAGAGGTTAGAGAAAGATAGGTCGGGATCCCAGTTGGCAGGGTTTGGGGGGCACGAGAGGCTTGCTGGGTCCTCAGGAGGTTTGGGAATGAAGTGGGAAGAGCTGGGGCTGCAGAGGGGGTGTTGAGTCTGCGTGGGATCCAGGAAGATGGGGTAAAGGCCCCCTTCAATCCTCATTGTCTGCTGCTCCCTAGCTTCGTGTCTTCCAGTGATCGGCTTCGGGAACTGGGGCCAGATGGGGAAGAGGCAGAGGGCCCAGGAGCTGGTGATGGCCCACCTCGAAGCTTTGACTGGGGCTACGAAGAACATGGTGGTGCCCGTTCCTCAGCCTCCCCTCCCCGAAGCCGCAGCCGGGACCGCAGTCGTGAACGGAACCGAGACAGAGACCGAGATCGGGATCGAGAGCGAGAGCGGGACAGGGACCGAGACCGTGATCGAGAGCGGGACAGGGACCGAGAGCGGGACAGGGACCGAGACCGGGACCGGGAGCGAGACCGAGAGGGCCCTTTCCGCAGTGAGTGAGCTTGGCTAGTGGGAAGTGACTTCAGATACGGTGTAGGTGGGTCCTACTAAAGTGTATTCTACAGTGGAGGATAAGCTAAGCTTATGTCTCATAACTGGATTCCGATGTTCCATAGGATCAGACTCGTTCCCTGAACGCCGGGCCCCTCGGAAGGGAAACACTCTCTATGTGTATGGAGAAGACATGACACCCACCCTCCTCCGTGGGGCCTTCTCTCCCTTTGGAAACATCATTGACCTCTCCATGGACCCACCCAGAAAGTAAGAACAACAGTGGGTTGTCCTAGGAGGACCTGGGGTGTGAGACCTGAGGGAGGAAGCTGGCCTGTCTCCACAGCCTGTAACACTGGGTTTGCCTGGGTCCTGAGGAGCCCGTAGGCCCTCTACTGACCCTGTGTTTTCTCATCCCAGCTGTGCCTTCGTCACCTATGAAAAGATGGAGTCAGCAGATCAGGCCGTTGCTGAGGTTGGGACTTCCCAGATCTGTTCTTCCCATCCCTCCTGCTATCCTCATATTTTCTCTCTAAAATACTGGGAGCCAGGAGGAAATCATTTCCTCTTGACAAAGAAAGTGTTTCCCTATTATTCATGCAGGAAACCTTATATTCTCAAGTCCGTACTTACTCTATTCTTAGGATGACAGCTCCTGGAAACCCTCCTTTGGTTTGTCTATAATGTTTGCCCCCATCCTCTGCCTACTCCCCTCTTCTGCCCCAGCTCAACGGGACCCAAGTGGAGTCTGTACAGCTCAAAGTCAGCATTGCCCGAAAACAGCCCATGCTGGATGCCGCCACGGGCAAGTCTGTCTGGGGCTCCCTGGGTAAGAAGGGGATTCTTCCTTTCTCATCCTGTTGCCCACAGCTCACCCCATGTTGTTCTCCTGCCTGTCCCTGGGTCCCCTAGAGGGGCTAGAGATCTGGTTTTGTGTGGAAACTGTGGGGATTAGGAGAATACTCAGGCCTTCTATCAGTTAGAAGCAGGAGGAGAGAAAAGTATTAGAAACCATTTTCAAAGTGTTGATTGCAACAAGGAAGAAAGTGGGAATGAGTCAGGTTGGTAAAGAAGGTAAGCACCTCATGTGGCCTTATTCATTTTGAGATGGAGTATAGTTGGTTTTATAAAATAGGCCTTTGAAGTTAGGAATCAGGAACACAGGTGTTTGGTAAGGACTGAAAATGTAGACTGGAGTCACCTGTATCATAGGGCCGCTGCAAAACAACACGATAATGTTGCAGGGGAGACTGAATGCAGAAGAGAAATGAGCCAGGACTGGACTTGAGGAATAAATAGTCAGGAACAATGGGAGGAAGTTGGGCTGTGCTCCTTATGCCCCATATGGCCCCAGCCCTCCTGATATGTTAGGCTGAAGTTGAGGGTGCAACATAGGAGACAAAGGAGAGGTCAGAGGTCTGGGAACAGGACGTGAAGGGCCTGGGTCATTGCAACCGAAGGATACAGGCTTTGAGGAGGAGGAAGTGATCCACGGCATCAAGATGAAAGCTCTAAGAGGATGGGGGCTTGAATGGGGGATTCCCTCTAGCTCCAGAGTGGCAGGAATGAAATCCTTGGGGATGAGGTATAGGGAGGAAAGGGGAAGGGGAAGGGACAACTCCAGGGAGAATACTTAGGGCCAGAGTTACACTGGAATGAATTCTCCTGATGGAATGAATAACGCGTTTCACCCGAAGTAGATTTTCATGTAAAGGAGTAGGCACGAGGGAGTTTGGAGCAAGAGTATCCCATTATACTGAAGAAGGAACCAGGAAGGACCAGCATGTTAACAAAGGGCTATAGAGATTTTCTAATTCTTGGTGTACTGACTGGAAGTAGGTGGTTAACATTATTCACATGTGTCAAGAATAACATTTGGGTTATTTCTGAGGACAAAACACTCATTACAGTGTTTGCGTGTGCCATGATAACGGCACACTCTTTACTGGGGCCATGGATTGGTAGCCACAGGCCTAAAGGGGGCTAAAGGTAGAGAAGCCATCCTGGCCACCAGAGGGCAGCATGGAAACTGGGCATCTGAAGGCCAGAGGCTAGAGTTGAGGTGGTCACACTCTGGGCCTCAGGTCTTCTCGGTGCTCTCCCTCAGACCTTAACGAAACTTTTCCTCCCTCCCCAGCTGTCCAGAATAGCCCTAAGGGCTGCCACCGGGACAAGAGGACTCAGATTGTCTACAGCGACGATGTCTACAAGGAAAACCTTGTGGACGGCTTCTAGGGAATGGAGCTGGATTCCGTGTGCCTCATCTGCCCCAATGCTGGTCTCAGTAAAACACTGAGGTGGAAGGTCACCCATCTCCCTCAGCCTCTGGTTTTTCAGCACTTGGGATTGGGGTTGAGCCTTTAAAAACGGCTATTAGATGTGATCTCAGTTGTAACCACATGACTAGTGCACGCTCCCCACTCCTTTACCCCAAAAGGATCTTGAACACAGGTGTTGTCGCAGCTGTTTTAATTTGGTCTCATGCCCCTTTCCAGCAGGAAACCCCTTATAGAAAACCCAGATCCTCATCTTGGAGTTTTTCCTTGAGCCAGGGCAGCACATGGTAGAGGTTGATGTGAAAGTCTCGAGCATAACCAGGTACTTGCTGTGGCCGCTTGCAAACGTCCACAACGCCCCAGCTGATCACGCCAACCTGGAGAGAGCGAGGGGTTGTCAGGAATCATTTGGTAGAACTCCTTAATCCCAGGAAGCACAGCTACTGCCAGTTGCATCTGAACTGACCTGACCTGGGAAGACTAGACTAGGGACCCGATTCAGTCCTGTCCCCTGGCACACAGACCAGACACATGGCCCTGAATTGGCCAGTTCAAGGAAGAGTCTGAAGGTGAGGCAGGCTCTGCCCCACCCCCCACCTCTTTTCAGCCACATGCAGTGAGCTTTCCTGTTTTGGGGCCCATGCTGACCACTCAGCATCTCCCCAGAGATAGGAAAGGGAAGACTCACTTGAATGAAACGACTCTTCTTGTGAATAATCAGGGGGCCACCAGAATCACCTGCAGGGGAGATGATGCTGTAGGCAAAGACTCTTAGGCCTCAGGACTCACATCACACCCAAAGAGCCTTCTCACCTTTGCAAGTGTTGGGGTCAGCGTAGGGAGACACACCTCCAGTGCAGAGGAACCTGGGGGTGACTACCTCGGAGACATCCTTGACTTTGTCATAACCTGGGGCATGCAGAGCGTCTCTCTCACAGCTGTCTTTCTGTAGGTGAGATGGGGATGTGTGGAGGGGAGAGGGGTGAGGAACAAAGCTTGCTTAGGAAGAATTGGGGGCTTCAAGATCCCACATTCCTCACCTTGTCCCCATTCTTGATGTAGACTGCCTTCCGAGTCAGGGTCTTAGAATCCTTAGACTCAGACACAAACAGAGCTTCGATGTCCTTTGCAGGGAGCAGCTCTTGCACTTTACAGATGGATAGACTGGGTCATTTCAGCACTCTCCCTCCCCTCCTCGCCTCATGCTTTGTCATCAAGTGGCCCTCCACCCCTTCCCGTGAGCTGGCGGCTGGGCAGGGCATCACCTGCTCTCCCTGTGGTCCCCCTCATCCCCCCCTTGTCTCAGAGTCTCACCCTTAACAAGCTGCTCTCCCTGAACATGTCTTACTCTGTTGCCTGCACGTGGTTGACCTTGGAAGCCTCAAGGCTTGAATCGATCCCTCAGTGCAGGGGAGGCAAATGGGCCTGTTGAGGAGAGATGGAGAAATTCAAGGATCGTGAACCCTGGGCCTGCTCCAGGCCTGGTTCTGCCTCTCCCAGCCTTTTCTCTCAGAATCCACATGGCTCACCTGATAGTCTCCTCATACTTGAGCTTCTTCTTGAGCTTGATGAGGGCCACGTCATAGTCATAAAACTCAGGAATGCCTTTTGCTTTTTTTGCATTGAGGTCATAGTTTGGATGAAATAGGACTTCTTCTATCTCCCACTCCTGCCTCTTTGATCCTGAAGTAGGAGAGGGGGTCCTTCTAGACCATCGGTGTCTGTGTAGGCAGCCTCCTGCCTGCATGTCATCCCTAACCCAAATCCCCATCCCTAACTGATCAGCATGCAAGGAAAGGGCTGTGATGACAGGTGAAAAGTGTGGGTCCTGGAGGCAGTGTTGCCCAGAGGGCGCCACAGAAGCTCAGAATTGATGGTTTGCATCCTTACCCACGCTGACCTTGATTGAGTGTTTCTCATCATCCACAGTGAAACAGTGTGCAGCTGTCAGCACAAAGTACTCAGACACAATAGCACCCATACAGCTCTCATGTCCCTTCGAAGGGCGCTGGGAACAGCAGCAGAGGGAAAGCTCAGCTTTCACAAATGTCACAATCTGATTAAGAGTGCCTTGCCCTTCCCCCAACCTTCATTTCACCCTGACCTCCCTTCCCCTAAGTCCCCACCACCAGGACACTGCACTTACAATGACTGAGATCTTGGCCTGCCATGGTTGCTTGTGGTAGGGAGTACCTTTCTTGTGCTCCCAAACCATGCCACAGAGACCCAGTGTCCGACTTTCATCTGGCAAGAAAGGAGATTGTGCTAAAAGCTGGGACAGTTCATTTCCAAATGGCAGCTGTCTGGGGGAGGGACGCCAATGTGTCTGTGGGGAACAGATACCCAAAAGAGGGAAGGGAAGGCAAGGAACCACTGGAATCATGGGACTAAGCTCAGAGACCTGGGCATGTTCAGGCCCAACATCTGCTAACTTGTCATTTCTTGACCTCTGTTGGCCCCAGCTTCCATATCTGTAAAAGGAGGGACTTGAGAAAGGTCTCTGCATCATTTCAGAACTTGTGATTCTGAGATCAGGGGGTGGAAAGTACCAGGAAGCAAGAATAGTGACCTGGAGGTAGAGGAGGTGAGAAAGGGCTTCCAGACTGCCAGGGCTTTAGGAGGAGTGGAAGAATGAGTGACCTTGAGGGGTCTGGGGAGGGCTGAGTTTCCTGACCATTTCCTTATAGCCTTCCATAGTTTCCTACCAAGCATTTGGATGAAAACATCCTCCAGGCTTTCCAAGTCCTGGAGTCTGAACACGTGTTTCTCTTTATCCTTCTTGGAAGCCAAAGCATTGATATTCTCTTGGTTCACTAGAGGTCCAACCCCGAACACATAGATGTCTGAGACAGAAAAAACAGAGTGAGGGTCTTGGCCCTGGCGCAGGCAAGAAGCTAATAAAGTGGGGTGCTGGGTCCTAGGCAATAAAACTCACCCAGATAATCCTCCCTGGGTTTTTTGCGATTTCTACCAATGTCCAGCAAGTACCGAATATCGTGAATGACAGTGACTGGATCCCCACCCATGTTGTGCAAACCTGCAGGAGAGATGGACTGTGAGGGTGGGAGACATGAAGGAAGAGGGTCCAGGAAGATAAAGAGGCTGGAAGGAGTGACATACAGGGCTGAATGAGCAGGTTGGAGAGATCACGGAGTGGAAGGTCCCTCCTTGTAAAGGCACAGGGAAGAGCAGCACCCCATCCCCCAGCCACAAGTCCAGTGTTACATGTGGACTCAGGACCACGAGCTGGTTTGAGAGGGTGGGGAATCAGAGGCAGAAACGCCCCTCTTACCGTCAGTCATGATGATAATGACATGGCGCGTGCGGTTCCAGGTCTCTCTGAGTTGGTTTACTTCCCTGCTCATCATGTTGTACACTTCCAGGAGAGCCCTCTTGGTGTTAGTCCCTGCCTTCAACTTATGATCTGTGAACAGGGAAGATGTCATCACCTCGCCTGATCTCCCAAGCCGCCCTTGACCCCAGAGGCCTGGCTGCAACTGGGATCCCACATCTGTCAACTTGAGTTGTCACCCCACTGTCCCTCTGACAACAAAGTGACCCTCTCAGTTCCAAAGGGTTCCCACTAAACCCCATTTTCCAATGACCCTGCTGTCCAACCGTGGACTAAAAAGTAGTCCTCCCTGCCCCACCAGGTGGTCTTACTACACCCTACCCACAACACTCCTGAAACTTCAGACCTCTCTGACCCCAAAGTGAACCTCCCACCCTTCCCTGACTTCTGACCTTCGTAGTTGATTTGGTTGAGCTGCTCTGTGACCCAGTCTGCTTCGCTGCTCTTTGGGTCAGACACTCTGACCAAAACTTTGGGTTCTGTGGCATATGTCACTAGACCATATTTTGGCTTCACCCCATAGCTTGCCACCTGTGGGTGAGGGGAGCAATAGGTCACAGCATCAAAAGTAGAATATATGGTTGGGAGAATTCAGCAGCTTAGCTGAGACAGATAGGAAAGTCCTTAGTAAGAGATTCAAGGACTGACTCATCACCCTGGGGTCATGGAGGAGTCCAGGTTAAAGGACTGGTGAAAGGAAGACACAATAGCACCTGGAGATTTTCTGGGACCCTGTGGCTCTGAGTGGCTGGGAGTATCTGGGAACTAGCCTTGGCAGGGCAGTGAGGTCCTTTCAGGGTTCCCACCTTCTCGATGAAAGCTCTGAGACAATTCTTGGCCCCTGTGAAGTTGTTGGCCCCCACGCTGTCTGATCCATCCAATACCAGGTAGATGTTCATAGAGCCCGAGGGGTCCAGGATAATCTTTCTCTTCTGTTGTTCCCCTGGATGCCACCAAAGAGGCTCAGGCTCCACAACAAATAGGTCTCCTGCCCCTTCTCCACCCCACACCCAACCCCCTGCCCCGCCTCCCCTCTCTGCCTTCAAACCTGGGCTATGTCCATCCTCGGCATCAACTCCTTCTATGGTCTCTGTCAGGGAAGACAGGAAGGCTTCGGCCACCTCTGCAGGAGTGTCGTACATAAAGGAGTCTGGGAGAGGTCAGAGAGCAGGTCAAATATCTGGGAGGTCAGGGACACTGACAGGAGATGGTGGGCTTCTGGGGCGGGAAGGGCTCAGAAGTTCTTTGGGGAGATTTAGAAGGGAGGAAGGAGCTGGGTGGTGGCAGCGGGAGAAGGCATTGCGCTCCGAGGGGAAGTGCGGATGGGAGAGCAGGGTCTGACTTGAGGGTACAGATCAAGGGTCACCTTGGCAGGAAGGCTCTGTTCCACTCCAAGAACCACCTTCCTGGCATGTTCGCTGCTGGGAACCACGCAGAGTGAGCCCCCGGTTGCAGTAGTAGGTGACACGGTCTTCAAGGCGGTACTGGCTGCCCACCTTTCTTGAGCCAAGAGGGATGCCCGGGTTGGGGCAGTACCCCGCTGCAAAAGTGTGAGACACACACTGGTGAGGGCCAAAGCCTGGGGCGCAAAGGGCAAGGCAGAGCATCGAGCTGCGGCACTGGTTCCTCAAGCTGAGGATGGTCAGGGAGAAGAAGCTGTTGTGGACTGGGGGGACGGTTCTCACCTCCATCATCACAGACAGCCGTTTCCCCATCCCACCGACCATTCCCTTGGCAGGTGCGATTGGCAGAGCCCCGAAGAGTGTAGCCATCATAGCAGCGGAAAGAGATCTCATCGCTCAAATTGTAGTAGGCAGCCCGGGGCCAGTACTCCCCATTCTCAAAATCCTGTGGTCTAGGACAGCGAATTGCTTTGAGGGTAAGGGGGTGGAGACCAAGAAGAAGTTACTGGAAGGGAAGGGCTACCCTTTAGGATAAGACTTCTGGTCTCAGGGACCCTGTCACTGAGAAATATCACTTCTCAGCCCCAAAGGATAGCTACTACCCTCGACCCCTGGAGGTACCTCCCCCATACCGAGTCCTGCTGCTCCCCCCTCCCCATTTCTAAGTGTTCTTTGAACTGCCGGGGTTGCCTGACACAGGGTAAATGCTTAGTAAAGTCTAGCTCCCCTTCCTTCTCTCTCCATCCCACCTCCAGCCCTCACTCAGCACTGACCCGTGCTCAGCCCAACTTGTCAGCCTGCCTGGTCTCCACTCAAGCCTAGACTTATCCAAGTCTGAACCTTGGCTGTCACCTGCTCCGTCCCTCAGCCGGCCCATGCCCATCCTCCCTGCCCTCCAACCTTTGCATTCGGCCCTCTTGACAATCTTTCTGTCTTGAGTCTGCAGGGTGCTCCAGGACCCTGTGGATCTGCAAGTGCGTATCTGCGTGGGGTATGGGTAGAAGCCAGAAGGACACAAGTACTCCAGCACCTGGCCCGCCTTGAGAAGCCGGAAGGAGCCACCTTTGATCTCTACTCCCTCCAGCGAGCAGGGGCTTTGGGGCCCGGCCTCAGGCAGTGGCGTCATGTCCACACCTAAAGAGAAAAGTTGGTGAGGCCCAGCCTCACAAGGCCGAGGATGGATCGTGGGGGAAGCAGGAGTGGAGGGAGGAGGGCTGTGATCTCACTTACCTCCGCACAAAAGGCCCAGGATCAAGGGTACCAGGCAGAGTCGGGGGTTGCGACCGATCCCCATGGTGACCCGGAGCTGGGGGCAGGAGGGCCTCTCCTGGCTTCTGCTGCAAGTCCACTTGGCTTGATGGCCAAACTGAAACTTTAGACCTGAGCCTGGTCACACTCCCTTCCCCTGCCCCCCACAACCTCCAGCCTTTTATGCAATCCTGTTCTGGCACCTGCTGTTCACCCCACCCTCCCTACCCACATCACTTTCCGGAATGTCCAACCGGGGAGGGCCCCACTGAGCTGCCAATCAAGGAAAGAGAAACTGCAAAAATTCCACCTTTGGCTCCCCAAGGTCCAGGACTCTGCCAGTCAACACCTCCTCTCCGCCCCTTGTCCTGCCCAACAAGCCCAGACCTCCCCTTGAGGACTAGATATAAGGCCCACACTGCCCCCTCCACCCCTGCTGACTCTGTTACCGAGCAGAGTTCAGCCGCTGTTTGTCCAGCAAGGTCTCTGACCTGCCTTCTTGGTGGTTCCTGGAATCATTCTGGCCTTTCTCTCCCCTCCCAGGCCAGCCCCTAGGCAGAGGCACAGACAGATGTGGGAATCATTGGTTTTTATTAATTTCATAACTGGGTAATTTCCTGTGTAAGTGGAAGGAGAGTGAGCCAAGTACAGCGGAGGGAGGGGTCAGCGCTGGCAGGAGCGCCGGGGATTCCCTAGCGCGGATGCGCCGCTGCTCCGGGATCCTGGAGGCGGGGATGTGTTCAGAGCAAGGAGTGCGGATGTCTTGGAGGCCGAGGGTGGGCGTTCAGAGGTAGACTGGAGAGACGGCAGGTCCTGGCAGGTCAGCAGAGGGCTCGGTGGCCAAGGTTAGAGGGGCACAAAGTTCAGAATGCCCTCTAGATGCTGCCTGAGCCAGGGCTGCAGGCGGAAGAGGTTGATGTGGAAATCTCGCGGAACCTTGCCACGGGTCGCAGGTTTGCGGGAGTTCTTACTGGAGCTGCCACAGGGGTTGTAGAGACCCCAGCTCACCAGGCCCACCTAGAAGAGGAAAAGGTTGGAGTGGGGGGCTTCCCCTGTCCCAGCCCCAACCTCTTTAGGTCCTTCAAAGGCCTGCCTCATCCCCCAACAAGGCGGAGATCCCGTGACTCCAGTCCTGTGAACTTCTCCTTTCTCACCTGAAAAAACCTGAGTCTCCGCTCAAGGAAAACTGCTCCCCCGGATTCTCCTACCAGAAAGGAGGGACAGAGACTGTCATCCTGCCGACCGTCACCGCTGCATCGGGGCGTGCATGCTGGCCACAAGGGACACAGGTGGCCTTCCCCTGGGGAATCCGGACTCCAGGGTGGGGATTGGGGGTGGAAAGTGGGTGGAGGAGGGGCTCACCCTTGCAGGGACTGTCATCCCCCTGGGTCCCACTGCATAGGAATTGGTCTGTCACCACCTCTCTGACATCTGTCAGGTTGGGGAACGTGGTTTTGTCTTCAGAGACGACCTTGACACAGTTTGTCCACTGCAGGAGGGGCGGAAGAGGACAGAAGGATGGAGTGAGCAAGCCCAGGGGACCCTAGCAGGGCAGCTAGGCCCAGGAGGAGGGATGACTTGGGGTCAGAGGGAGAAAGCAGCCAGAGCTAGGGGAGGCAGAGAGAAATCCCATCCCTCCCAACAGCCTCCAGAACCTGAGACCCTCACCTCTGACCCTGTCTTGAGGTTAACGTTCAGCTTATCCCCATTCAAAGCCACAAAATGAGCAGGAATGCTCACTTGGTTCAGAAGCTCCATCTCTGCAGTCAAGGACAAGGATGTCAGTGCTGGTCCCTTGACCCAGCATCCTGACTTGGGGACTGCAGCACAGCCCATGATATCATCCCCGAAACCCTGGTGCCAGTCCCTCCCGCACCCTGAGTCCAGCACTCACCGTGGTCTCGGCAGGTACTGCCTGGGAGTCTCCGCAGAGCCAAGTTGGCCCCCACTGTGCAGGGGAGGCAGATGGGCCTGAGGAGAAGGACCAGGGTCACAGAGGCCCATCCTTGGTGTCCCCTCATCCAGGGTTCCCCAAGACACTCTCCCCTGTAGAGGGTGCCCTCCCATCCCAGACTCTGGCACCTGGCATGGCTGGACATCTTCACTTTCTGGGTCAGCTTTAGCAGAGCGATGTCATCGCCATAGAACTCCGGGATTCCCTGATTCTTCTTGGAAAAGACATTGAACCCCGGGGAGATCACTGCCTTCTCAATTTGGAATTCTTTGCCCCCCTGAAAGTTGGGATCCCCTGGAAACAAAGTAGCAGATTAGGCTGGACCAGGGCTCCTGAAGGGGCCACAGGCTGGGAATAAGAGATGGGAGCTCTGCCCAGGGGATCGGGAATCTGGTGCAGGCCCTTCCTTACCCACACTGACCCTCCACAGTGTGCTGTCCTCGGCATTGCGGAAGCAGTGAGCGGCTGTCAGGACCCACTGGTCAGAGACAAGGGCCCCCCGGCAGGTCTCCTGGCTCCTGGGCTGCAGGGGGACAGGTGATCTCAGGGACTGCTATGTCTCTGGCTCATGGCTGCACCTCTGGGATCCAAGCCCCACCCCTCCTTCCAGGTACCTTAAAGGTAACGTGCCAGGGTGTCCTCTCCTGGGCGGAGGCATTGGCAGACATGTTCCCCACCCCACAGATGGGGTCTGTGAGCTGGGAGACATCTGTGGGTGTGAAGAGCAGATGGTGAAGGAGGCCGGTGAGGGGCGCTGTGAGTAGGTGCCATGCCGGGACCCTCAGCTGGCTCCACACTGGCCACCCCCTCCAGAGAGGGTGAAGCGCACTCACCCAGCATGTGCTCGAAGACCTGGCTCAGCGCCTGCACATCCTTCAGAATGAAGGCATGCCTCTCGCCATCCTTCTTGGACCCCAGGTTATTCAGCTCTTTCCAATCCACATCTAGGCTGCCCACACCGATGGCATAGATGTCTGAGGGGGAGGGAATTAGCAGAATCTCACAGTGAGCGGCTATCCCGCAGCACAGGAGGCTGTAGTTGGGAACTCTCTGTGTCCCATGAAGCCCTACATGAGTGGGATCCCCTCCCCGCCCCTTCACTACATATCTGATCTCATTTCCCAGCACTTCTCCCCTCAGTCTCTTCCAGTCACACAGCATCCTTGAATTTCCTGAAATACACTCCCACCTCAGGGCCTTTGCATGAGCTTTGTCCCTGCCTGGTTCACTCCTACCCCCAGGCTTCCCACATGCCTCACTCTCTTACATTTCTAAGCTTTGATTCAAAGGTCCCCATTGCAGCAGGCCTGCTCTGGCCTCCTTGCTCTGGCCTCCTTGTATAAAACTGCAATGACCCAGACATCTCTATTTCTTTTCTGCTTCATTTTATACCTCAGTGCATGTCACCCTCTACTGTGCCACATGGCTTCCTTATTTATTTTGTGTAATGCCTGGAGTAGGTAGAATTGTGTCTTCTCGAAAGGTATGTTCAGGTCCTAACCCCCAGGGTCTGTGAATATGCTCATATATATTTGGAAATCGTGTCCTCACGGATAAAATCAGTTAAAGTGAGGTCTCGCTGGATGGGGAAAGGGAGGGAGTGACGAATCTGATGCCTTTACAAGAATAAGGGAATCCGAACACCAACACAGAGAACCATGTGATGTCACATGAGATACCTTCAGGGAAGACTGTGATGTGAAGAGAGGCAGAGATTGGATAATCCTACCCCAAGCTAAGAAATGCCTGCGGCCACCTGAAGTTGGACAAAGTAAGGAAGGATTCTTGGAGGTTCCGGTGGGAGCACGACCCTGTTGATACCTTGATTTTGGACTTCCTACTTCCTGAGCATGAGAGAATGCATCTCTGTTGTTTCAAGCCACCCAAATTTGTACCATTTGTTGCCACAGCCCTAAGAAACTAATCTATCGCCCCCTTCCAGAATGACAGCCCCACGAAACAGGCATTTTCCTCTGTTTGTTTATAGCTGTATTCTTAGAGTGGTGCTTGGCCCAAAAGAGGCTCTCGGTGAGGACTTTTAAATGAATAAATGAATGAAAAAGAACTCATGATGTAGCATGGAGGCACAGCTTCAAATCTGTTCATCCTTTACAAAATGCCAGCTCTGGGAGAAAGACTTGAAGCCACCTCTTCCCATTGGAGAACCTGGATCCACATGACCATCCATACCAACCTCTGAGCCAGTGTGGGTGCCAGTCAGAACTGCCCCGGGGTGGCCACCGAGTCTAGCCTTCTCCCACCCTTTATACTCCTCATAGTCCTTTTATGCAGTTACAGTGGAAGCTGGACGATTATCACGTCCCATGTGTTTTCATTAAGAATTGATGCTTTTGAACTGTGGTGTTGGAGAAGACTCTTGAGAGTCCCTTGGACTGCAAGGAGATCAAACTAGTCAATCCTAAAGGAAATCAGTCCTAAATATTCATTGGAAGGACTGAACCTGAAGCTCCAATATTTTGGCTGCCTGATTCAAAGAGCCAACTCTTTGGAAAAGACCCTGATGCTGGGAAAGATTGAGGGTAGAAGAAGAAGGGGACAACAGAGGATGAGATAATTGGATAGCATCACCAACTCAATGGACATGAGTTTGAGCAAACTCCAGGAGATGGTGAAGGACAGGGAAGCCTGGCGTGCTGCAGTCCACAGTGTCACAAAGAGTCGGACACAACTGAGCAACTGAACAACAATAGCAATGTGTTTTATCTATTTCCCTGAGGTTCCTGCCTCTTTTTAAGAAGGTGTTTTCAAGCATTTAACTCTGGCCCAGTGATGCTAAGTAGTTACGGAGTGAAGTTTGGATTTTGCCTTCTTTAGACAAGGGTTTTCCCAAAGAAATCTGCTTACCCTCAAGGAGCAGGTGGAATGGGTGGCATGAGCAGAAAAGAGAGAACCCAAGGGGAAAGTAAAACTTGGGACCTCAAAACCAACTGCTACCCCTTATCTGGAGCACTTCTCTTTGAAGTTCTTTTCTGGTCAAAGGTCAGTGCAATTTTTGTTTAGTCTGAATTAGAGGAACTGTTCTTTTAGAGACTGCAACTGCCAACGCCTTAGTTAACTGCACTGCTAATGGAAAAAAGGCCAGAGACAGTCCCTACAGGATTCCAGACCTTTTCTTCCCGGAGAGGTTCGTAGAACAAAAGCTGATGAATGAAAATTACGTCAACGATGATGATGGTGGTGGTGGTGGTCACCACCACTGCACACGTGAGTTTCTCTGTACCAAGTAATGTTTGAGCATTTGCCCTTACTGGCCTGTGAGGTAGGTCCTTGTCCTATATCCTGCTTACAAGTAAAGAAACGACCCACGGTCACAGCCAATCAAAGATGAACCCAAGGTTAAAACAACAAACTCAAGGTTTGTAGTTTGACTACAAACTCTTCAATGTGATCCTTGGCTGACTGCATACAGAACAACACAGCCTGGGGTCTCAATAGAAATACAGCCAAGGACTTCCCTGGTGGTCGAGTGGTTAAGACTCTGCACTTCTACTGCAGGGGGTATAGGTTTGATCCCTGGTCAAGATACTAAGATCCCTCATGCTGTGTGCAGTGCAGCCAAAAAAAATGAAATGCAGAGAAAAATAGCCAAGGTGCTGAAACTCCTGGCTGTGGTCCTTGGGTTCTCTGCAGAGAGCACAGATTGTGGCAGGGCAGGGGCAGAGGCTCACCCAGATAATCTTTCCTCTTCTGGTTGATGTTCAAGACCTTTTTGATATTGTCAACAGCCACCTTGGGAGAGCCGCCCATGTTGGACTTTCCTGGATCAAGGAGGAAAAAGAATTGTTCATTAAGATGGATGCATCACGATCCCCTCAGCCCTGGAGAAGTGGGGAGGCATTCATCCTGGGAACCTGAACACTTACACTCCCTATTGGAGTTTCAAGATACATTATTCACGGAAATTCTTTAGCACTGGGTCAGGGGCATCTTAATACTTTATCTCATTTGATTCTCGTGAAACGCCTGTAAGTGTGGGTCTCCTCATGTTATAAATAGGAAATCTGATTTCTAGAGGAGCTGTGTGATTTGGGCAAAATCAAGATAAATGGCAGAGCCCTGATCCACTACCCAATCTGCCTTTCATCCATGGACCTCAACATCACTGCTGCAGAGCCACACCTCCCACCCAACTCCCTCTAGGTGACCTCCCAGGTGGTAACAACTAATACATAATCATAAAGCACTCTTACACAAAGTACTTATTGCTCTTCATAAAAATTGTGTAAGGGGACTTCCCTGGAGGACCAACAGTTAAGACTCTGCACTTCCACTGCCAGGGGTTCAGGTTTGATCCCTGGTTGGATAATTAAGATCCACATGCCGTGCAGTGCAGCCAAAAAACAAATAAACAAACTATATACAGAAAAGAGGGCAGCTTCCATTATCAATAATTGTCATGGTTGTCATTACCATCATCAGCAGCACTGTTTCTACTTTAGAAATAAGAAACCAAGGCCTGACATGGCAGAGGGAGAACCAGAAGGCAGGTCTTCTGACCCCACATTGCTGCTCCTTCCACGGTGGCAGGCTTACTCACAGAGACAACAATACCTACCGTCTGTCAGAAGGATGATGGCATGTCGGATCTCCCACCAGGCCACTGGGTTCATATGGAGCCGATTCATTTGGTTATTCATCATTATATAGACACCATGGAGGGCCTCGTAGATGTTGGTCCCAGTTCCATTTTCATGGTCTGGAATATGTGAAGATGAAAAGCTGTCTTAGAAACCTTCCACCTACCACCTGGGAGAAGGGAATCACTCTATTTTCCCCAAACACTGGAAATGCCAATTATCAACTGATTTGATAAAGACCGACCTTTGATATTCAGTTAGAGATTTGGCATCATTGCCCGTTCAAACATTTCAAACCTTTCCCTTTAGAAATGCTCATTGCATAACAGCACTAAAGTTCATCCTAAAATCCCAGGATTTGAAGATGGGGTTTCCAAAAAAAGTGGGTTGTTTCAACCAGCTGCTACCTACCACCCAGGTAGTTTCATAATGACATGAGGAGACTATGAAAACCAGACCATGTGGTTCAGGGAGGATCTGAAGACCTGCATGATGCTTTTGGACACATAGCACATGTGAACAAGCCAGGTGTTGGTAGGAGCTGCAACTCCCCAACCATGAACCTGACTGGGAAGCCACCCCAATCTAAGGAACATTAGGCCCAGAACCCTGGGACCTGAATGCCACCAAGAGGCCTCTCTCTCGAACTTGTCCAGAGTCTCTGCAGGCACGGAGAGCTCATCCCCTACTCCCACTCCCATCACCTTCATTTGATGGCATCATACCTTTATAGTTGATATTTCTCAGACTGTTCTCCACTTCAGTCACATCCCGGGATCTGTCATCCAAGACAGACATGATGATTTTGGGTTTTGATGCAAAAGTGATGATGGCAACACTAACCTTGATCTCAAAGCTGAAGATCTGTGAAGGGCAAATGAGAGGGTAAAGGGCTGCCAGACCAAAAAGAAGATGGTAAGAGAGCCAGCAATGGGCCCTGGAGGAGATAGAGAGCCTAGACAGAGATCGACAAAGGCAAGGCCCATGGAGAATCCCTTCCTGGGAGGTGGCTGCTTAAGGAAGCCAGGAAACTGACAATTGTTGGCCCTCTCCTCTGTTTGACAGGTTCACTCTGCATTTAATCCTCACATCAATGATGTGAGGGGTCGTGATGGTCCCTATTATATAGATGAGGATGCTGAGACTCGTTACCTTGCCCCTGATCACACCACTGGTGAAAGATGAAGAATTCAAACCTATCGGCCCTTGCCTGTAGCATTTTACAGCCTCGTGGCTTAGTGGCTTACTTAACTTTACATCTGAAGAGAGAAACTAAGGAGCACAAAAGCTGCCTTCTTTCCAATGGAGCAGGGAGGGAAAATACATATCTACAAAAACTATTGTGAAAAGCATAATTCCCAAGCAAAGTCCTGGCAAGAAATGTAAACCAGTGGTTTCCAAACTCTTCTGTTCATGCATTCTGTAAGCAGAAACATTCTGAGCACATACCTCAATATAGGTATATGTATTTATAAAGTATACTCATAAAGTGTATCACTGCTCAAATATATTGTACACATTTTAAAATGTATAGAAAAGATTGAAATTTTAAAAGGAAACTATTAAGTTCTTCATTTCAGTTAAATTATGGTTATTCCACATGATTACTAGTACTTTTCTGCCACACACACCCCCACAGATTGTTTTGGGTACCCCTTTGTGAAGACCACTGTTCTGGAATTCCTGAAAGGTGGCATCTCAGCCTCGTTCATCTTTGTGATCTCCCAGGAGCCAGAATAGTGCTTAACAGTAGGTACCCCAACGGTGTTTGTCGAATGAAAAATAGTATCCTCTAAATTCATGATCCATGGCATGTGTATAATCTGGGAAGACTTCTTGGAGGAAGTGGGCTGTGAATGGGATTCTGAGAAGGGAAGGAGACAGAGACAGTGCAGGAAGGCCGCCGATATCCGCAGGCTCCTATTTCCTGACCCTGTCCACCATGCGGGAGGCGCTGTCCTTGAAGATTTCAAAGTCATCTTTGGACACACTCTGAGAGGCGTCCAGGAGCAGGTAGAGGTTCAGATGACCGGAACGCTGGATTTGTATTTTGCGACCCAAGTTTTCTGGGAGAAATGTGGAAGGGGGGAGATTCAGACCTCCACCGCCCACCTGCTCTCTAGCCAAGGCGATCAGACCCCTCTGCCTCTCTTACAGTCAGCTCAGCCCGAGTGAGCCCACCGGAGGCTCCTGCCCCGCCCCTAAGCTTGCCCCGCCCCTACCACGCCCACCTCAAGCACTCACCTGTCTTCTGCTGGATGGGATTGGTGGTTGCAAGTAAGTGGGAGAAGGAGGTGCCCAGGGCGGGGGCCACATCCTCAGGAAAGTCGTAGGAGTAGGGCTCTGCGGGGAGAGTCGATGGGGTCAGCTGGGCCCGGGGGTGGGGGCCCAGCAGTGTCTGCAGGGTCAGAGCTGCTACTCACGCCGGCAGATGGCCTCCGTCCCACTCCAGACCCCGTCGTCCTGGCACTCGCGCTCCGCAGACCCTGTCAGCACCAGATTCGAGGAGCAGCGGTATCTGACCTTGTCCCCAAGGCCGAAGCGAGAGCCGGTCCGCACTGCACCCACGGAAATGCCCGGGTTGGGGCAGTGGCTGGCTGCGAGGAACAAAGATGGAGGTGAGCAGGGACTCGCCTCCTCAGCCTCCGGACTCCGGACCCGGCTCGCCCACCCTCTCCTTCTAGGCTCTTCCTCCTCTGGAAACCCTCAGAGCCTCTGCGGGTCCCTTGGCCTCTCCCTTGGGAGACATCATACCTGTGCTTCCCAGGGGTGCCGATGGAAAAACCTGAAGTAGGGAAAAGGTTTAGAACTCTGTGGCCTCAGTGGCCACCTAAAACATCCCAATCCCAACCCAGGGTCTCTGCTAGTACCAGACCAGAACCTCAGGGAAGATGGAGGCTGAAGAGCCTACCCCTCCACAGAGAACATTTGCAAACAATGAGACATCACTACACACCCACCAGAACTGTTAAAACTAAAAAGATGGGCAATTCCAGGTGTCAGAGGACAACCAGAGCTGATGATCTATCGAGAAACTGTTTGCAGCCTCTACTAAAAGAAAACAGATGCCAACCTGTGACCCAGTAACTCCACTCCCAAATAATATACTCAAGAGAGATAAGTGTCTAGTGCACCCAAAGTCATATATAAGCGTGTTCATAGAGCTTTACTCACAATAACCAAAAACTGGAAATAGCCAAATGCTCACCAACAGGAGATAAACTGTAGTATGTAATGGAACTACACAGCATAAAAAAATAACAAATTGCTGATACACAGGGAAACATCCATAAATCTCCCAGGCAGAATGTTGAATAAAGGAAACCAGATGCAAAAGAGCACAGTCTGTCTGATTCCACTTGTTTGAGGTGTAAGAAGAAGCTAAACGAATCTATGGAGATACAAGTCAAGAGAAGGTTACCTTGTGGAAGGGGACAGCAGGGAGCCTCCTGAGATGGTGGACACTCAGTTTTGGTGAATACTTAAAATCTATACACTTTAGATAGATTAAACCTCAATTTTCAAATGAATTATATTTATGTTTGAATAAATGACTGTTGTCAAAGAATCAAGGCTGTGACTAGAAAGCCAGCAGCTGGGCTCCAGGTGAGGGTATGGTCCTACCGCCTCGTGAACTGAGTCCTTTGTATTATGTATTTAGAACTGTGACCTAAAAAGCTCCTAAAACCTACAGGCAAATGTAGCTCCAGTGAATCCCAGGAACCCCACTTTTGTCAAGCAGAGCCCCCCTCCCCAGTCTTTCACAAGGGCAGTAATGACCATGACATAAGTATATCTGGTGCTTACAGATTCCAGGAGCTGTTCCAGAGGCAACCCATTCGATCCACATGGCAACCCCCTGCAGTCAGTCCTCTCACCGTCTCCACTTTACAGATGTGAAAACTGAGGCACAGAGAGGTTAAATAACCTCCCCAAAGGCCGTCAAAATCAAAGCTGGGCTTGGAACTCAGACCTCCTCCAGAGGCAAGGCAGCTGAGCACAACACTTGATTGCCTTCATCACATCCTCCCTGCAACAGCCCAGGGGGACCAGGTACCAACCTGTCTTGGAGGCATTGGGAAAAGCTGGACAGAGCATTTACAGCCTTATTGCTGGACCCAAAGCTTAGCACCGACTTCCTTGAGCCAGAAGCCTAACAGGCTGGATGGAGATATGTAACTATAGACCTCAATTGACCAAATTCTAGGAATATGATTTTGGCACCAGAAACACCTGGTCCCTGACCCCACACATGCTCCCTGGGCACATATCTGGCTCCAGGGCTCCCAGGAGACCCCTGCCCCCATGCAGCCATGGGTCAGGGCACTCACCACCATTGTCACACACGGCCGTCTCGCCATCCCACATGCCATTGGGGCGACACTGTCGCACAGCTGAGCCCCGCAGAGTGAAGCCATCCTCACACTCGAAGCTCAGGTTGCCACCCACCGGGTGGGACCCCAGCCGTGGGGTGTACACACCGTTCTCAAAGGAAACAGGGGCTGGACAGCGAACAGCTGGAGGGAGAGAAGGGGATGATAATACAAGGATGGAGGGATGACACCTGGACTGCCCACCAAAGTGGGTGATATTCAGCTTGGAGGCATGGCAAGAGCCAGCTGCTTGTCAAAATATTAGGTGGATGCCTGTGAAATTGCAACTTTTGACAATTGGTTGAATATTAGCAATTTCACATAGTTCAATCTAATAGATTTAAAAACAGTCACTTCTCTCAGCCCCGTGAGGACCCCAGTCCCTCCCTTGGTGTTCTCCGATGTCCCAGGAGTGGGTAACTAGAGGGGTGACACATGGCAAAAGAGAGGACGCCTGGACCATTCAGCATCCATTCTGAATGGTCAGTACCATGTGGCAGATTGTCAAGACCTCTAAACATCATCCTTGGCTTTAGTACCCCACAATCTCCATCATAGTCTGCCTACAATGCCTTGCTGTGGGCAGTAGACATTTCCTTGCTATTTTGAAAAGCCCTGTGGAAAAGGAGCTTTGCCACCCCGTTGAGTCACATTAAGCCCCACACTGAGCAAACTAAATAGGAGTCCCCGAGGTGGCCACTGGCAGGGAGCCTCACGTTTACAGATCGCCTTTGTCGACCGAGTGGATCTCGGGATTTGCCACTGTCCATTGCTCTTGCACAGCCTTGTCACCACCGGGTACGGGTAGCGGCCCAGGGGGCAAGAGTAGGTGAGGATACTCCCAGGGCTCCAGCCGTTGCTGAGGGTGAAACTGCCCCCAGAGATATTCACATTCTTGGGGCAGGAAAGCACAGCTGTAGCCAAACCTGCGGGCATGGGGATACGACTCAGAAATGCAGCAGAGAAGGAAAGCACAGATGAGAAAAGGAAAGCAGAAGAGATTGTCCATTTCACACGTGGAAACTCAATCTGGTGGCACCAGCCCGGCCCCACAGGACCCCAGCATCCCCTCTCCCCTGCTCCTACCTGGGTACAGGGGCAGCAAGTAAAGGACAGCCATCAGTGGGTCCATGGTGTCTACCTCAGGGGCAGGGACAGGCAGAGAATAGGGAGAGGGAAAAGGTCATCTGACTTCCCGAAAACCAGAGCTGGCTCAGCAGCTGCATCATCTGCTGCCAGAGACAGAACACTAGGGAGTGGCAAGGGGGAATGTTCCCTTGTTAGGAGGGAAAAAAAAAAACCCATAAACAGGGATTGGGGGCTGAGCTGAGGGGGTGAAAGTTTTGCCCTGTCTCCCTAGTCTCCACACATCCCTAGAGTCAGCTCATCTGCACCACAGGCTTTTGCCCACTGCTCCCCCACCGCCTCTGCTTCTCAGACACACGTGCCCACACACTCTTACATGAATAGTCTAAAGCACACAAACCGACTGAGATTGCAAAACATTTTATTTAAGTAAAGTTTCGGTTTTCTTTTGGGTTTTCCCAAGTGGATGTTACAAATACTTCCTCAGAGCCTAGGTTAGTATTGTCTTCTTCAACATAAGCCCCCAAGGGATTAAACTAATTGTCTTAAAAATTCTTGATGCCTAGGAGGATTCACCATCTTTTTCTTCCCTTAGGAATAAAAATGAAATCAACACTTAGAGACAAGAAAAAGGTTGAGAACATTTTTAAGGAAAGTCCAATAGATAAAAATTCCCCAACTTATAAAATAAATAAATCTGGGTTGATTATTCAAAGAAGTGAAAATATTTTTGATTTGGAATGTGCCTTTAAATTGCAATGTGCAAGGGACTTCCCTGGTAGTTCAGTGGTTGAGAATCTGCCTTCCAGTGCAGGGGGACTCGGGTTCTATCTCTGGAAGAGAAACTAAGATCACACATCCCACAGGGCAACTAAGCTTGCCACCACAACTACTGAGCCCACACGCCTCAGTGGAGACTCGATGCAGCCAAAAAATAAATAAAATTAAAAGCAAAAGAAAAAGATATTAAATTACCAACCATACAGAAAAATAAAAATTTTTAATTACAATGTGCATTTTGTATGAAATGCAGGAAGCAAAGAAACTCTGAGCTACTGCGTTAGCCTCCCCATCCCACAAAAGTCTTTAATATTCATCAAACAATGTGTACGTGCTAAGTAGCTTCAGTTGTGTGCAACACTTTGGAACCCCAGGGATCAAACTCGCATCTCTTAAGTCTCCTGCATTGGCAGGCAGGTTCTCTACCACTGGCATCACCTGTTTAATGACATAATGAATGTCTTCAGAAATGAGAACACTACATTTAATATCACTTGGCTTACAAGGAGTAATTCCCTTACAGACAAGAGGTGTGTAACATTTCATTGCAAATTTCAAGTCATTGACATGCCTCCTCTCCTCTAAAACATCTTCAAACTCATCCCACTTTTTGAGCTCCTTTGAGTAGAGGAACGCAACAGTACTGGGACTGGTGGAGCTGACGGAGAAACAGAATTGAATGAACTGGAAGAATGTGGGGTGTAAGTAAATAAGATTAGTCAAAGATGAAGATGAAACATCTCTGAAGTGATCATTTAAGTTTATGAAAACTCTTTTGATTTACAAATAACTTCTCAGAAATACACGTACACAAGTAAGCATACACAAAATCAGTTCCTTGGGCAGAATTGACTGAATGCAGGAAGATTGTGACACCCCTGGTGTTGCAGTCCCAAAACTGTTGCTGTGACTGAGCTGCAGGTGCTTCCTCTGTACCCAGTACCTGCTCTCCTTCCTTCTACAGTAAGAGATGTTTAGCAGGACACACAGTCACCCAGCTAAAGACTACATTTCCCAACTTCCCTTGCAGCTAGTGTCCAGGTGACAAGATTCTGGCAATAGAATGTAAGTACAACTGATGCCCTAACTTCCAAGTAAAAGGCGAGTATTCTCCCCTTGTCAACCCCCATTCCCATGGGCAAGAATATCAACCTGATATTCAAGAGCAATACCCTGGGGATAATAGAGTCAACAGACAGAGGAGCCTGGGTCTCTGACACTGTGTTGATGTTATACCAGTCCTGCTGACCTGCTCAGAATTTTACGAGAGGAAAAACTACCTTCAGAGTCATAAGTATGAGAGATGTTCTGGCTTTGTCTCCTTTCTATCATATAGTAGGATTGAACTTCCCCATCCACTTCCTTTGACCAGTGAAACGTGACTGTAAATGACATATACCACTTCCAGATTCCCTGGTGGCCCAGATGTTAAAGAATCTGCCTGCAATGCAGGAAACCTAGGTTCGATCCCTGGGTCAGGAAGATCCCCTAGAGAAGGGAATGGCTACCCACTCTACTATTCTTGCCTGGAGAATCCCATGGACAGAGGAGCCTGGCAGGCTATGGTCCATAGGGTCATACAGAGTCAGACATGACTGAGCAGCTAACACTCCACTTCACTTCTAGATGGAAGCTTTATAAGCCCATGCAATCTTCCCTGTGCTCTTCCCCTCTTCATGGCAGTGTTTGAGATGGTGGCTGCTCTATCAGACTGGACCCCTGGGTAACACCCAGAGCAGAACCCATGCTGACCCTTGGCAGATAGGCAATGTGAGCAAAAAAATAAATGCTTGTTGTTTTAACCCACTGCATTACCACTGCAATAGGGGAAAAGATACCACCCCTAATTGAGGGGCTTAAAGAAATGATTTCTTGTTTCTCGTGATTCTGCAGATTGGCCATGTGGTTCTGGCCTGGGCTCACCCTCACAACTGCAGTCAGCTGAGGGCTGAGTTCAGTGGGTAACAGCAGGACCCATGGTCTATCACCAATAGCCCCTCACAGCATGGCAGTCTCAGAACAGCATTCCAAGAGATCCAGAGCACACATTGCGAGGTCTCTTGAGACCTACCCTCAGAAGTCAGGTGACGTCACTTCCACCACATCCCATTAGTCACAGCAGATCACGAGGTTATCCCAGGTTTACAAGTGGGGGAAACTTCACCTCTTGACGCGAGGAGTGGCAGTTACCTTGCAAAGAGGCATGCACACCAGAATGAGAGAGATTTGCGGCCATATTTTGCAAACCACTGTGGCAATGAAGATTAGGGGGTTGTTTATTACCAGGACATCATGAATCCTCACTCTGAACACTTAAACCACTGAGTTATGGGTGCCTTTTAAAGCTGCTACTATGGACTGAATTAGAACCCCTCCCCAAAAAATGTGTATGTTTAACACCTTACCCACACTGTGACTATATTTGGAGATGACATGGCCTGTAAAGAGGTTATTTGTGTTAAATGAGGTCATAAGGATGGGGCCCTGATCCAATAGGCTTAAGTCCTTTAAGAGACACCAGAGAACTTTTTCTCCCTCCGTCCTTCTCTCCCTTCCTCCTTTTCTTCTTTCTCGCTCTCCGTACACATATATCCCTCCTGCCCTCATGCAAAGGACTGCCTGCAAGCCAGGAAGAGAGCTGTTACCAGAAACTGACCAAGGTGGCACCTTGATCTCTGGAACCATGAGAAGATAAGTTTCTGTTTAAGTCACCCAGTCTGTGGGGTTTTTTTGTTTGTTTATTTTATGGCAGCCCAAGCAGAAAAATATTGATACATCCGCCTAGCTCGTATGTAATAGCTGTCTTGAAAAGAAAGGGCCTTTCTTTCATGAGTTTCTCTCAGTATTTGTTGAGTTAAATAAACTCTGCAGAGTGTATCAGAATCCACTCTCCTTTCTTTCATAAGTCGTAAAACTCACAAGTTTTTCACTGGACCCATGGAGTATGCTTTTGAGAAAGGAGTGTGCTCCGCAATTTTTCTTTCCCACTTCCCACCCGCTGGAATACAGGCAGACTAGTGGAAACCTGAGCAGCCACCCTAGACCACAAGGTGGAAGTCATGTTGATAATGAGGAACAAAGCTCCAGAAATCTTGCTCCCCAGTCCTCTAGGGGTACTCATAACAGCCCCAGAACTCATGCTCAGACCATTTAAGCCAGTGTTATTCTAGCTTTTGTTTCTGCAGCAAAACCTTTACCTAACCAATATTCTTAGCCAGAAATCAAGATGGAAGCCAAAGGCAACACCCAGGGACATGTGTTTATCAGGGCAATATCTAAACTGCTGTAGTAAAGACAACCCAAAATATAGTAACTTAAATAAGATAAAAGTTTACTTCTCTCTCAAATAAGAGCCTCAGTGTAAGCAGACAAGGCTGATATGGAAAGGGTGGCCCTGGCTGGTAGGACAGCGTTGCTCATCAGCATCATTCAGGACCCCATGCTCCTTCCATCTCGTGGCTCTGCCATAACCACTGATAACTGTTCTTGTCTGTGTGCTTGAAACAGATTTCTATCAAGTCTGCATTCCAGCTCTAAAGAAGTGCATGAAAGAAGTAGGGGGCAACTAACAACATGAAAATTCACCCAACTCTTCCACTCATAGTCCATTGGCCAAAACTTGGTTAAATGGGAGGCTGGGAAATGTGGCTTCTGGTTTGTCTATCATGAGCTCAGCTAAAACTCTGATACTATATAAGCTGAGAATGGATTTGGGAAAACAACAAGCAATATGCAAGAGGAGGTCAACTTTGATGAGAAACTATCTGAGAGAGCATGACACTGCATGGTGACAAATCAAGGTAAACAAAGAAAAAATGGGTCACCAGAGTTGACTTGTTAGTCCAGTTCTCTTTGGGCCCGAGTCCAGTGCGGAAGGGCCATGATCTGAGATACTACGGGGCTGTAGACACCAGATCTTTATTACCCTCTCTAGGCTATTACCCTCTCTACCCTCTAAGTAGCTATTCAGTAGACCACATTAGATGAAAGTCGCTTATCTATTAATTTCACCATTAAAAACCTGGCAAGAAACTTCCATGGAAATTCAGTGGTTAAGACCACGCTTCCACTGCAGGGGGCATGGGTTTGATCTCTGGTTTGGGGAACAAAGATCCCATATGCTGCACATTATGGTCAAAAGATAATAAAAATTATTTTTTAAAAAACATATTGGCAGATCTTGTGTCTGGTGAGGTGCTTTTAAAAAAAAAAGATTTTAAAAAATGCCTCACAAATGCAACTTATATGTTCACTCCAGATGATAGA